GCTCGTTATATTTTACGAAGCTTGAATTATTGCACTTCAGCATATATATTTAAAGCACTTAACCGTCTGTCCCTCCCAAACTCCATCAGAGAATCAGCAAGCAGTTTCTGCATTCTCAGATATGCTCTGAGCACTTAAAACCAACATGATTAAACTTTTCTTTTCCTTTGAGCTCCCCAGACACCACTCGCAATGCGCCTGCCACACTGTAATGCCTACAAGAGTTACCACTATGAATAAAGTGGGTAATGTGCTCTGCCATCATGGTTAGACCCAAGTTGTACATCAAGCCACTAATGTGAATTACAGGATGCAAAACAGCTTTTACTCCAGGCTGTGGCTAAAAAAGAAGGAATGCAAGCACAATCAAACTCTGAGTTAAACGATGGTGTTATTTTAACAACAACTTTGGCCCCACCGTACTGCAAGCACAGGATGCCTCAGTGAAGGATCACAGCAAGCAGGTTCAGCACCAACTTCCTCACATTCCCAACCATCCACACAGGCTGTGGGCAGCCTTTATGTGCCTTGCAGCACTTCCAAGCACAGCTACTGCTTTTTATGACCCTTTTCAGGGTGTGCAGCTTACTCCGACAGAGCTGGAGTCTGCAGGAGGGGAGCAGGGATGCGATACCAGTGGTACCTGCCTTCCCCCTCCTAATGCTCCCAAAGGCAAACAGGTAATAACAGACAAAATCAAACCACAAGCCCTGCTCTCTCCATTAACGAGACACCGTCTGCGTATTTAGTCTACACACTTTAAAGAGGAGGGGGAAAAGCTCCTGTGTAAAATGCTTTTAATGCCATCACGCTCACGTCAGCATCGAACAAACACTGCTCTCCTAGCTTTGAAAAGGTGAGCAACCTTCAGTGTTTACACAGCCACTGAGCTAAAGGGGTATCGGGCTAATGCCGTGAAAGGGCTGTCCTGCTACGCACATTCATCACCCTCCAAAAAATAAGCCTTTGAACAAGTCCCAAGGCTAAAAGCTGCAGTGGCTGCGGAAGATAGCAAGCAAAAACGATGGGAGTTCCTCTGACCTTTAGCAACAGACTGATGGATTTCAGAGCTGCCCCCAACCTCGGTCCTGTTAGAAGAGTTAACCTCTTCCTACCTGTCTCCCATCATCTTATCACAGATCTTCCATCATTCGCCCTAGACTGAAACATTTCACTTTGGCCTGTGACCGGCAACTTGTCTTACAGAAGCAAGGGTCAGGCACTGCCCCTTCCCAACAGGGGAGGGAATGGAAAGGCTCTGGGACAGGAAGAGATATGACATAACCCTCAAAATATGAGCTGTGACGGGAAAAGATCTGTCTGAACATATACATATAAAAACCAAGTGGTTTATGGTGATGGAAAAGTTCATCCTATACTACTTATCTGCAGCATTTCCAAACTGGGAAATGGAGGCATGTACATTGTCCAATAAAAATAAACTCTGCTCGAGGGCTATCATGTTGCTTTTAAAAGAGTGCGAACTCCCTGCCTGTCAGATTTTAGGAAGCAAGGCCAGATTTGAGCAAATGTCAATTTGCACAGCCCCTCCGAGCTGGAGCCCCGTCAAAATGAAGTCAGATGTTGCCTTATACCTACTGCCTTTCCATGTCAAATCTTAGCAGCCCTTGGCAGCCCCAGAGATCTTAGCACGAAAGGCTCTTTAAGACACTTTCTAAATGATGAATTTAAGATGGTCTATCTGTCCCCGGCAGTGGGAACACACAGAGCTCCCTATCACAGGCAAGGAAATCTAAGTGCGATGGCACATAGCCTGCACAAAGCACGCCTTTCCCCTGAACCCTCGCAACAGGAACGCGGAACAAAACTGCTGCTCCTACCCGACGGCAGCTTACAGCCCAACGCCTGCGTGCACCGAAGTCAGCGCTCGCTCCTGTTAATCTGTTGGCTGTAAACACATCAGTTTGCAAACAGTCAGATCCATTTGGGAACCATTACAGTTGTTACTAACTAGTGTGGGAAAGCGGCACTGGAAGGTGCAGTTGAATACATAAGCTCTGTGCATCATCTTAAACCAGGCCTATTCTGAGTAAAGCCTGGTTTTAAAAGCAGCTTAAGGGCAAACTGAAATATCTTCCAATGGAAATCTCAGTAGGAAATTTGTACTGGTTTCGCTCCGTCAGTGCAATAGCTGAAGCCAGTGGGACTGGTGGAGAGATCTGACCACAGCATTGCTGCTCAGTAGAAAATTCCAGGCCCTTCAACCCTGATCTCATTCCAAAGAGAAAACATTGCTTGGGCAAGCTTTGGGTTACAGACTAAAGAACCCAGCAGCTTACAAAACGATGATGTTTCCTCTGGTGAATGTGAGGTATGATTGCAGAATTCCCAGGCATGTTAGAGAGGGCAAAGACTTTCAACTTGCATTCACGCAAGCCTTTTGACCTCCCTGTTTTAGAGTTTATGACCCTATGAGTAACCCTGCTCATCATCTTTGACTGAAACTATGTCACGCCAGCTGCTAACGAGATAAAGCAAAGATTAAGAGGAGGAGAGCTGAGAGAAGGACAAAGAGCTTAAACATTTGACAGCTAGCTGCGACTGAAAAGTACTTCCACAATGGCATTTTAAAAATCTATAGCACATCACCTTTAGCCTTAACCCTGCTGCAGTGAAACCAGCAGAAAAAAAACCCTTCGTCTGCCAGTCATCTTATAGGGATGTAGGAAAAATCCGCCTGGTTTTGTGGAGTAGAAGCAACAGTACGGCACTAAGTTGTTCCTAAAATGGAAGCAGCAATAGGGAGGGGAGAAGCACCTACACACGGACACATAGAGCTGGAGGTGACAGCAGCCACTGCCCAGAAAACACAACACTGATTTTCTGCTACCGGGACAAAGTCACAGGGACTGCCAGGCTGACAGCTCCCAGCTTAGTGCAGGCACTTAAAAATAAAGCTATTCTTCCATTTTACTTTTTCCCCCACCAGTTCAGCGTCTTTAGTCACCAGTGCCCCTTAGCAATTGCTGTAAATGCTGTTACTTGTCATGTCAGTGGCTGCCTTCATGCCTTCATCCATACATAGCTCCCAAGAGCTGCCAGGACATGGGGAACACGACTTCTCTTACACCTATTTCTCCCGAGTGATCCTGCTGGTGAGTCAGGCTTCTGCTACATGAACTGCTTCAGTCTCATGATTAATTTTACTTATCATATGTGAAGCTTAAGCACCCACACAGCATCAGCACAAGCTGATTACCTCAATTACCCAACGTGTTCAACTCATTAGTCAACCTCCAGTGCTTAGCTAACGGAAAAGCAAAGCCCTCCAAAGCTTTTATGATTAATATCTGAAGCATCTCAGAGTGAAGTGACCTCCGTCTAGACTAAAGCATCTTTTCTTCCAGGCCTCTGTTTTGAGGATTCACTGCGGCTTTGGGGAAGCACACGTCTGCCAAAGCCATCACTGATGTTCCATGATCTCGCCTCATTCCTCAAGCAACAACAGTGCCATTGAAGGAGGTAGCTTCGGATCCCTCCCGGAAAGTCTCCTTTCCCTCCTTAGCCAAGTGAAGCAAGGTCAAGGCAACAAAGAGAATTTCAGCTCTCATATCCTATATCTGCACCCTTGCATGGGAGCCTTCCATGAAAGCGCTGAATGCTGCCTGCTCACCCTTACTTCTTAAAGTATTCTTAAAAGTGTTCTTCCTAAAGCCTCAGCAGGGCAATGAAAGGTTTGACTGAGCATATTATCTCCCCTTGCCAAGTATGCTGCATTGCATTAACTCCAATGGAAAAATCTGGTAGAAGAAAATACCGGGAGACCCTTTCTAAATCAGTGGCTATGAGGTAACAGCTAGAATAATTTTGCTTTAAAGTGATAAAGAAGGTTGTATCCATTGTTTGGGATCATGAACAAAGCCAAGATTCAGCTGTGGAAACCGCACTGTGGTATGCAATATATCCTGGATTCCCTGTCTGCTTAAAATAAGATTTGACTGTGGTTACTGGATAGACTCTTTCAATAAATTTTGACCAAGGGCAACCACTGAATTCATATACTGAAACATCAGAACATCCGAAACAAGGGAGAAGTTAGCAGAGTCACCACAAATACTTTCCAACCTGAAAAGCTGAAGGGGAAAAAAAAAACCCAGAAAAACCCAACACCACCCACATTTTTTTTCTTCGAAGAGCTCAGCACAACTTCTTTCCAGCCCAGCATTTCCTCAGCTCTTTATTCTGCAGAAGTCTAACAAGTCCACTGGAAGGTGATTCAAGCTTTTTGATTCTGTCATTTCCCCAAGTCTCAACCTCAGCCTAGCAATCTAACCCAGTGAAAATCCAGAACCTTTCCCCCAGTGACCAGACCACATTTTCCTCTCCAATTCCTTTCATCACTTCCAGTACTAATCCCCCATTCCCACGAATATTTCTATACTGTTATCATGGTTACTTAGTCATTGCTTAGCCAAACTGTGCAAAAATCTCTTTATATCTTTCCTTACGAATCCACCCTTTTCAAGCCCTGGTTATAAGCCATAGGGTTACTCACCTCCAAATCCAAGCCCACCTGCTGACCCCCACTGTTATACACCATAAATTGCTCCCAGTACCGAAAGGGAGGGTTCGGGGAAAGAAAACTCAGTAATGTAGTACTATGAACCAACAAAGTCACCCAGGTGTAAGGTCTATGAGTACAGCACATATCTCTGTCTCTCCAAAATGCATTCTTAGAAATATAATAAACCACTTTTCAATTCTGAAAAGTGATTGCGGAACAGGAGAGAGACAATATATTTTCTCCTTACTTATACTTATGCTATAAAAAAACCTTTCAAATTCTTATTATACACACAATGCTTTTAACAGCTGAAATTAAAATCCGAAAGTTGCATCTTCAGCCAGCATCTAGAAGGACTGTCAAGAGTTTGCTTTAACCATAGCGTGCAGCTGGGATAACTTATAATGTGTGGTAGCAGACATCCCTGCCTGCAGAAGGCTCTTGATCAGCAGCTTGTAATTTTAAGTATGTTTACCTCTATTTGGTTAAGCAATGAGTTGTCAAACTTGAAGCCAGGGATTCTCTTTTCACTGCAGACCACTCCCACGTCTTCGGTGTGTTTGCAGTCAGTTACTCCCCAGCCATTTGAAGTGCACGCTGCCAGGCTGGTCTCCTTGCCATTACAGTGGACATTGTCCATCCAAATTTTCCCTGAAGGGGAAAGAAAATAGAACTGAGACTCACAAAGAGGATAAATCTAGATTGTACTGATAGCTGATAGGAAAGCAAGTAAGGCTGCTGTGCTCTTACTATGGCAGGGGAAGAGATTACTGCTAAAATAAGCTTGAATCAACAGCTAAGGAACATCAAGATCCACCTCAAGTACTTAACTAACTGCAGGCAGCTCTGCCCCACAGCTTTCCCTTTCACTTATCTGCATAGTAATAAAAAAAAAAAATACCCCCAGCCTGAAGCAGATCTCTGCTGCAGTCCTGCTCACAGTGGTAAATGACCTCCTCTGATGAGAGCCACTTGAGAGCACGCAGTGTCACCGGGTCCCCTCGATTTGGCTGATTAGACCCTGCCCTCTAATCATACTCACCAAATCATTCCTTCTGTATTTACGGCTTCTCTTTACATCATTTCTCATTTGTCAAATCCTCATTAAATCTTTTGTAGGAGACAGCTCCAAATTTTGATTAAATGCCTTAGCTTTTTAAAAGCAGATTTTTTACAAAAGCTTTAACAAACCACTATTGATCAGAACCTCCTGTTATTTGGATGCTCTTTGAAAGCCAATTGCCAGATCCAGTTTCCAGACTGTAATTACCACTTTCCCTCCAGGAAAAACTGCATGCATATGCAAGTGAGCATGCATGTGTACATGCGCATATATATATATATATATAAAAACCCCAAATTTTAACAAATCGGGTCCTTCAGAACTCACTTCTAGGATGAGCAGACAAAAATCAATAGGTGTCACCTCCAAACTTTAGGTCATGTTTTCCTAGGAGCGGCTGAGAGCAAAAGACCCAACAGCATCTCTGAGATTCACCTTTATGAAGTGCCCATTTTCCCTTTGAAAACGTGCTGGGCACATGCTGCTCCCTGCGATTTGCTACCTACATCGCAGGGAGCAAGGGCCAACAAGTAATTCCCATATTTTAGGATCCCAGACAGTTTGCTTGTAACACATCCTTTGGACAGAAAGGACTTCCTGACCTTCAGAGCCACTAGGAGATTCTGTAGCTATTTCCCTTGGCTGTTCCAGCAGCCCCAACAAGTGCAGTTGGTTCATCACCAGCCGATGGATCTGCCAGCCCTCTCGGTGCTCCCCAAACAGGAGAGCAGAAAAAGCTCATGGAAAGCCTGGCTCCAGGATTTGAGGAAGGCATGACCCCCTCCGCATGGGCTCTCTGCATCAGGATTTACCCAGCGCTTGTCTGGCATGCAGAGAACGCTTGCTCCCATTAAATCACGTGGCAATCACTTTCTGGTTTGTTTTCAAATGTCATGGCCTCTTTCTCACTCGGAAATCTCCTGCTCTACCCCAAGAGCCAAAATCCACAGCTTGGGACAACATTCAAGGTTTCGCATTTCAGTCAAGTCACTGTTAAGGCCTGCTTGCTCTTTTACGGGCAAGTTTATAGGTGCGAGCACTAACGAGTGGTGCTAAGTAACAGACATACAGCACATTTATCCCTGCTGCAGTGGAAATAATCTGTCTGTGGTTGCATCAACAGTGTGCCAGGCTTCAATGTTTGCAGAAAAAATTCTCCCTAGGTCAACATTTAACTAACAGCATATCAAAAGACAACAATTAAATCTGTTGAGTTATATGCTATTACAGAGCTATTCTCTCTCAAGCATTGTGATTTTAAGAATTCATTGCTATAACACACAAACATTCACCTTTCCAAGTCTTTGTTCAGCACGTACTTAGGAATGAGGTGCAATAAGGTGCAATCCGCAATTATCAACACATCCGTCACGTACAATTTCAAAGAGCAAGAAAGGATGTACAATTTGGGGTGAGGGTGAATAGCTTTTCCCACCAGAACAGCCTGAGAGTGTCCAAGAGGATTATTATAAATATAGTCCTATATAGGACACGAAGCGTGTGCACACTCTTTTGGGCTTTTATAGGCTAGTCTGCATTGCAGAATATGATGCATGTGTTTCTAGAGAGGCCAACAGGGCAAAAGAAAGATTTGTGTAGCATCACATAGGCAGTCTGTTTAGAGCCCAAATAGTTCAGAGGAAAAAAAGAATAGGGGGAAGGAGTGTTTAGAGGCCCTATTTGACTCACTGCAAGGCAACAGAAGCATGAATAGGGAAGTGGACCATCTATACATTACATTTGCGGGTGCAGCTTCCCTTTTGACTGGCCATACTGGCTGGTGAAGAGCCACATTTGCGGGTGCAGCTTCCCTTTTGACTGGCCATACTGGCTGCTGAAGAGCCTCCTACCCTTACCTACCGTCAGCTGCTCCCAAGCATCCCCTGCCAGAGTTCATACACCATGACCTGGTCCTTCAGCTCTTTATCTCATCATTCCTTAACTTGTTTCAGTCAAAACAAGCAAACACCTATTATTTAAACTGCTTAATCTAATTGGGAACCTGATTTAAAGAGGCACTGCTTCGCCTGGAAGCTATTTCAGTTACATTTGTAGGAAATATCACTACACCTTAACTTTGACCGGTCAAGAACTATTGGGGGTTGGAGAGACAGCTAGTACACCACCACTGCTCTGGAGTTACCTTACCTTCTCCTTTTCCGTACTTCGAGCTCGGTAGCCAAGACACCGCCTCCACGTAGCCCAGCTCCCTGCAGACCACGTGCGCAGCATGGATGGAAAAGTCATCATCGCACACCGTGCCCCACTCGCCACTGTAAAACACCTCCACTCTGCCTTCGTTGTGTTTTCTCTTCTGCCCTGCAAGCCGCAGCTGGATCTTGGGAACATTTGCCGGTCTCTGGGGGGGCTGGTACACTTGTGGGGGTGGCTCAGGGTAACCAGGGAGGTAGGGCCAGTGTTCATACTGAGCAAAGCCCAGCGGGCTCAGGGAGGTGAAGAACAGCATGATGAAACAGTGGTTACGGGTAAAACCCAGGAATCTTTCCATTTTCAGTGCTCACAGTTCTCAGAGCCAAGTCCTCTGCTAGCAGCTGCTGATCAGTGCAGGTAGGTACTGTGTGGCTGTCCTGAAAGGAAAGGAAAGTTTGAGTAATGCTTGGTGACCACGTGGACTTTGTATCTCTTGCTGCAGCAGGGGATAAAGCTATGGAAGAGACTATGTACAATGCTGCCCGTAAAAACGGAAGTAAATTATTTCTTGTGGCATAGAAGAATAAACTGAAAAAAACCCCCATGAAAACCATTTCTACGCTTAGGCCAACTTGCTAAATAGTTTTAGCTAGAAAATATTTTTTCCAGGGCAAAATTCTACAGGTCACAAGTGCTAGCAATTGATTTTCCTATTTCTCTGTAAATCCAGTAGCGCAGTAGCTCTAGCAAGCTACAGCCAACTCTGGTTCAAATCCCATCAGGACAGAACTGAAACATTTTTCTCCCATACGTGCTTCAATAAAGCAGCCAAAATGATCACTTAAACAGTGGAAAGCTAGAAGAGTAACAAAATGTATTATAATATGGTCAGAAGTGACGTATTTAAATTGAACTCTGTTTTCCCAGTACGATAAAAGACTTATTTCTGTCACTGCATGTCCAGTTTCATCTGTAGAAAATCAACATACGTTACCGTACACAGACACTTTGCAGAAGCAGTCTTGGCTAACCCTGTCTGTCCGATGGAGTAGTGGCTAATGGTCTCCAATTTGGGGTTGCTAAGCCTGGATAGGGACCGACTTGTCATACAACTGCTACATCATTATATAAACCAGTCATTTAAGGTATGAACCAGCAACTTTTTGACTCATTAGAGGCATTTCATCCAGATGCTGCGCAGAGTTTAAATCCTGGTCCTTTTCTGCCTGCTTCCCACTCACGTACTCCCCAGCCTTCATTCCGACATCCACCACATGGAGTGGTCAAACAGCACACGTGGGCGTTGATGATTGAATAGTTTCCAAATGAAGCAATGCCAGAGCGCAGTGGGAAAAAGCTCCCCAACCCTTTAAAGCTCCATTATTTCCTGGCAACCACCAAAGGGGAGGGAGAAGGGGAAAGACTTGGCTCCAAAACCAGATGTCTAGAAGCTAAAATCCTCCAGCATTTTTGCTAGGTCTTAGCTATCCCTAAAAAATGACCAGAAGTTCACATACACACACGAAGACAGAGAAAAACACATTAACCAGCTTTTCAAGCTGCTTAATGAGGAGATGTATCAGAAATCCCAGGCAACTAGCCCGAAATTCAAGAGAGAATTCAAACCTCAGCTCTGACACTGACCTGCTGTGTGACCTCCAGCAGGTCACCTCCAGGGCTGTGCCTCAATTTCCCCCTGTATTAAACAGGGCTGATGGTCGTGAGCTTCCTACTGAAGTGCTTTTGAGACCTGGGGATGAAAGGCACTTGCCTAAGGAATAGAAGCACGTGGGTTAAAAGTCTAGCACTGGACAGCAGGGGAAGAAACAGGAAAAAGCGAGGGGAGACTTTACAACAGGTCTAACTAAATCAGGGCTGGGGAGAATATGCACAAAGAATTCTTGGAAAATAAACATTTGGTTTCAAGGAGCCACGTACTTTCACATTGGTTTCACAAGATTGAGATTTGTAAATTTTTATCAGGCATTCAGAGAAATACTGCTATGGAAACAAGGTATTTTTCAATTTTTTGCAGGACGGGAGGTGAGGCTGAGAGAGAGGAATCAAGTCCTGCCCCACATCAGAGAGAGCTGGAGGGGAAGAGAGGAAGGAAGTACAACTGCTTGCACAAGGCTGCTCCCCTCCAGCAGCAAACAAAGGGGATTTCCCAAAGTAAATGCAGTCAACAGGGTAGGATATGTGTGTTCTGTAGAAATAAAAGGCTCCCGAGTCAAGGCACATTAGTACTAGTCAGACATGCCCGACTTCAATACCTACTAGCACTGATTTCAAAAGAAACCTCTGACAATGTTTTTCGGGATACAAGATGGTTTTTAGCCCAGAGGATAAACACATGGGCAGAGCAATTGTCGTGAACAGTATTAAAAAAAAAAAAATCCGAGTGGCCCCTTTAGTCAGATCATAACAGAGCACAACAACATAGTTAGTTACAAATTAAAATACTGAAGTTGGTGGTGGTGGGGGGTGTCTTAATGCTGAGCCCAGCAGAACCGCAAGCCTAGTGGTCTTCAGAAAAATCTGGTTTTCAGTTTTAATCTTCTTTAAACATCTGTTTTAACCTACTTCATTTTATGTGGTTGTTGTTTCTTGCTACTGCATAAATCGGATTTGAAAAGCCTCAGCAAAAATTAATTAAAAACTAAGCTGGACTGAAACAATCTCTCTCCAAAAACTAAGATGAGGGGTAGCAGGGCCGTGACTGAGCTGAAAGCTAGTCGGGTTTCTAAAGAAGTCACTGCAGCTTTCCCACGGCTGTCCCACACGCACGAGAACACAGTGCTGTTAATATATTGCTGGGACCTTCTGAAGCATCTGGATGGTCTTGCTGGGTAGCAGGCAGCCACACGAAGGATATTTGGGAAGACAAAGGTGGATAACGTGTGGTGAGTAGCCTCACAGTCAAGTCCTGAAGGACCTCTAACTCTCAAGAGATAAGAAGGCACGTCAGCGTAATTAATACGCCAAATTCCCCTCCAGGTTACAGTTTTGTTTTATGATACTCCAGAATGCTCAGTAGTAAACACTAAATAAGAATATTTTACAGGAGAAAAGGGTTGACAGTGCGTAAGCAGCAGGGCAGCATCTTTCACTCGTCCCTCTCGTGCCAAGGCAAACAATGACCAGCGGTCAGCTCTGTGCTCAGGTTAATAGGGGTCTTTCGTGATCAGAGGCCAAGGAAAAGCAAAAAGCCATGCAACTCCAGTTTCCAGGACTGCCTTCTATTCAAACCAAAGCTCTTGAGTCATTTTACTGAAGGACTTCAGCCAAAAGACACAACAATTTGGGGAAACCATTCAGAGGCAGGATGTAATAGTTACCAGCTGAGAGCGGTACTCCCTGCGGTGTTAATTAATAAAGCAGACACCACTGCAAGATGCCAGAACCTTTCAAAAAGTCACAGCACAGGGAGACCTCATGGTCCATGAGCAGCTGCAGGGGAGGGAAGGGTCACAGCAGACTTCCAGGTTACTTTAATTGATACCAAGATTACTCAGGGAGATAGTAATTTAGATTATACTAAATATAGTAGGTGTAATTTTTACTCTTGGCAAAGCCTTGCTGAGTCGGACACCCCAGGAGCCCCAAGACTCCGAAAGGCAACTGCAGGCTGGTTTGCTTTTGTTCCCCAAAAGCTTAGAGACTTTTGGAGTCAGGTGAGACTAAGAAAAAACCCACCATTTACCACAGAACTGAAGAAAACTTGGTGAGGGAGGATGAGGTTGCTTGAGAGCCCCCTGTTCCGCAGAGGCAAGTTTGACTAGCAAAAAGGAATTTTAACAAGCCTGTATGAACACAATCCCACACTTTCACCAAGGAAAATGACTCGGGGCGCATACATTTTGTGCTGAGGTCGTAGAGCATCATATCTCATCTTTGTCAGGATCCTGTGAGGATCGGGAGGGGCTCCTCGAGTGCCTGGGGAAGGTACTGGAAAAACGTTCAGAAATCTCCCTTCTAGTCCCTATTCCACCTGCGGAAGCGAAACCCAGAGGAATTCTCCATAAGATCAGAACAGCAGCAATCCTACATGCTTCAGGAGACAACACTGCAGTGTGTACTAGCAACCACAGCCCGCTTCTCCTTCAGGTCATATTACCATCCGCTTCAAAATAGTTACGCGTTCAAACATTAAGAGACAAAGCTTTCACAGTGTTTGCATCGCCCCAGAAATAAAACCTTCCATACCCAGAGGTCTTGTTTATTGCGGTGCTTAAGAGAAACTATTCAGACTAAGTCACGATGTCAGGAAAAGCAGAATCCAGTGGAATTTGAGCACAGGCATATTTTAGTATTTCCACAAGAAGCAGCAGCCCAGGTACAATGGGGAAACCAGGAGCCCAGTGTGCCCAGCAGCGTCCAGGGAAGCCACCCAACACTGCAGTACTGAAAAGGGCTCTCGGCTTTCTGTCTCCTATCAGGAATGGTCAGGAGGGACAACACGGAGTTAGGGCACCGGAGAGGCTTGAGCATCTTCTGGCAGAGGCATCCATCCATACCATCTGGGTCAGTTTTCATAGGGAGGCAAGACAAGCAGTAACGCTGGACCGGTCTAGAGGATTGATAAAGCAGCACAGAAAATTTTACACCACTTTTTTCACTCCACAGCACAACAGCCACGCGAGTCCTGGATTTATTCTTTCCTGGCTCCTCCTGAAATCTCTCTCCTTAGCTACAACACGTGAGCTGTACCGCACCAGTGTCAAAACTATCGCTGCTCATCAGTGAGAACACCAATGACTCAGCAACAGACTCGCTTGAGCATTTAAAGAAACAAACACGGACACTATCAGACAGGAGGCAACTGCGCACACACACATTTATGGCGGCATCACTATAAGCCACAAAAAACAAAGTTTAAGAAGGAAAATATTTAAGTAAACCCATTCCTCTGCTGCCACCAAGATTTGAACGCATTTTTTCCTCAAGTCTTGAAGCAAGCTGCACATGCTGAACTCCCTAAGAACAAATCTAGGCTTAGATTTGCAAGATGTTTGGTTTGTGCTGGCTATTCCTGTTATTGTAGGGCTCATTCCTCCCCTCACACCCTCTCTTTAATAGCCTCCAGATTTATTAATGATGTAATCCTAAGAGTATATATTTTGGTCTCCCCATTCAAAAGAATCCAAGACAGAACATTAAAAACCTATTCAATGGAGTCAGTGGAGAAGCCAGAAAAACCCTCCAGGTCTCCTGGCTCTCCATCCTGTACTTCAGGCCATAAGATGATTCTCCATCACCGCATTAACATGTAATTTAAGGCTTTAAGGCATGCTCCTGCTAGCTGCTGACTCAGCCTTTTTCAGGACTCCAGTCTTAAATCTTGAAGGGAGCAGATGG